GACTTTTATGAGAAACTAGATTGTTTTTAAGTTATACTTGCCGGGAAACTGTGAATTTCAGTCCTTAACAGCTTGCTCATGTCGGATAGCAATTTAATAAGACAGCTGTTCAAAATGTTGTTAAAATTAGGGTTTTATTTAATCCAAATCAATCATACATCCATACTCGCACATGTTCACAAATATTTTTATTTATTCTTTTGTTTAAACCCTTAAGGACAGAAAAATTGAGAATAAACGAAAGGTATATATGAAGGTGAGCTAAAATTGTTAATTGGTCAAAAAAGTATAATAACTCAGCACACTTTTGATTTGGATCCTTAATCTAATTGTATCTAATTAAAGATTTAAAAAATATTATTTTCCTAAGATAGCATTTTAGTTCATTTGGCCACTTTGCCTACATACTGATTTGTGTTTCTAAAGGTAAAAGGAAACTGTGACTATTCCAAATGTTTGCATATCATATGTGGTATTATAATAGCGCAAAAAAGTTCACTGTAACCTTAGTCTTCGTCTGCAAAAAATGAAGCAAGAAACTGAGATTTTTAACATTTTATCTATTGTCGATTATTATTTAAGAACACTTTATCAATTTTACTCGGCTGATGCTGTAGCAAATAATTAAATAACTAAATCCTTGAATTTAGTAATCTTCATTGCTAACATAAACTTTGTATGCTAATTGAATTACTGCGTTAACGACGAATTTACTGCGTTAACGAATAATTACTGCGTCTTGATGCATTTGTCCATCAAGCTTGGTATGCTAATTGAATTACTGCTTCGAGTTACTGTGTCTTGACACAGTGAAGATCAGCCGGCTATTTTTAATTCTTATAGGGAGATGTGCTTGATTTACGACGACTGCGTGATTCTAGGCTCCTCTTCGTCTTTTTCTTTTCTTTTTTTCTTGACTTTGTATACTTGGATAGCTTTATTCTGAGAACTTATTACTGCCTTTATATATAAGGTTAATGCTGGTATGAAAAAAAATTAAGTCTTGTTTATTTGAGTACGAATTTTCCGGTTTCAAGAAAAGCTTTCGGTTTTTTCAGGAAGTTTCAAGATTATTTCTTTTTAAACTGTAAAATAGAGATAAATTTACTAGTACATTTTTTTTAATACAGCAGCTTTTTTTAAGCCTATAACTTTTCCCGCTGATCACAATCAAGCCGCCTTTTTTATGTTTGCGTTAGTTTCGCTCACATGACTAGGAGTCCTAATTTATCTACCTTTTCTAGGAATTGGGCGTATTATGTTTTAAAATTGATATCCTTTCATGCTTCTAGTTATTTTGCACTACGAGTAAGAAAAGTTCATTTCCTGTCAAGGAAAATTTTGCCGGCAGAAACGTTTCGAAAAGGAGCTAAAAGAAAAAAATAAAAGGTATTTTTAACTATAGCAAATATTTCTTTTAAAAATTAAAATAGGATTTCGCAGTTTATTTTCCACTTAACCGAAATCAAATTCAGGCTTTCACTAATATGCGAACCGAGGATACATATTTTTGTATCTCACTAATAACACTTATTTTTGGTAACTCTGGGATGATACGTATTTTTTGTGTAATACAGCTTTAATAATTGTAATATAATTTAATCGGATTGACGATGGCTCTCTGTGTTATATCTTGGAGAGACTTTACTGCGTAGTTACAAAAATGACATTCGAAAGAGAGATTTCTAGACAGACGTGACCAAACTGAATATAATTTTTATCACTGTACACGAACTAATTATCCAAAATATATTTTTCGTCACACATGATCGTGGGCGCAATACGAACCCTACAATTTTATATAGAGTATCAAATTTTAGATAACGGCATAGTTAGCAGATTAACAAAGCAAAGGGAGCGAAGTAGCGTGTTGACTGCGAGAGAGCTAAAGCTAAAGTGCGCAGTTATCCACTATGGAGGCACACCAAGAGAAGGTTTTGGCTTAGATTAGAAAGATTTCAGTTCTCGAAATTTTGAGTTCAGATTACGAATTAGCTATGTCATCAACAATACGCAAGCCATGCAAGATGGATTGATCTAGAAATAACACAGTCCAGTAAAGTTATTACGATTTTTAGAACAGAGGGGGAGAATTAAAGGGTTACCGTTAGTTTAAATTATAATTTTAATTTACATATTTTTATTTTGCACAAACACGCATATATATATATATGTGTGTAGTGCCGATAGCTTAGAGCTGTGAAGAAATCCAGATGCTGTGACGTCATTCTCTCTACTACTACGAGCTGCGACTTTTTGACTTTAGCTTAACTGCTCTTCCCTTTACCTTTAGCGAATGCTTTTCTCTCAATTATTTCAATTTTTATTAACGATGATGTGGCGGCAATTGCAATTATTTTTGCAAAGGTACTCCGTAACCAAATGCCTTGGTCCTTGGTCCGTTCTTGGCCATCAGACGGTAGACTGGCCCTCCATTTATATACACTCAGTTCGGTGACTACTGAGTGTGACTCTCGCGGACAAGTGGTGCGACTCTTATACAATTAAAATATATGTCTAAAATATGGTAAACTAAAATTATTCACTGTCCAGAAAATAATTTATTTCCTTTCTTTTTACAAATTTATCAGTAAACAAACTGATTACTATCTAAATGTAATTATTTTATTTCATTTCTTGTTAACTAAGAAAATATTATTATTCTAAAGCATAAAAAAAATATAAATATTATATTGATTCTATCAAGCAGTTTTGTCAAGAAAATCTTTAAAAATTAGATTTTCTTGTGGATGCTTTCCGAATGGATGGATGGATACTTTTGCAGAAAGGGTCTATCGAGTTTCTGAATCATTAATAGAGAAAGAAACTAAATTCGGGGTGATCTGTGAGTAGAACAGAAAATGCATGTAATGCATCAGAAAAATTTAATGTCATAGAATTTGATAGAAGTTTAAAATAATTTAGAAATTAAATCGATATCCAAATTGATGAGAAATTTATGGCAACTGGGAGCTTTGGAAATATCTAACAAATGTGATGACAGCCACAGCTTAGAAGATATTACCTTTAGAAAATTTCGATATTCCGTAAAATTTGAGGACAACAGATAATTCAAACCCTTGCATGTCCAGTGGAATGAGCACGCAGCGGAATTACGGGGCAATTTTGAGACACCAGAAAAACAATTTGAGTGGCTTTGGAGCATGTTTAAGAAGAGTCCGAAGTTTCATGAGATTTACAAAGCTGTGATAGATCAACATTTACAACATTTACATTTATTTAGTTTCTATACATATTACGGTGATACAAGGACCGGACCAAAATGTCGTCAAATGATCGACTTTTGGCAGTTCTCGCCAAATTACCCAGATACTCATTTACTCAATGTTAAATGCAACTGCCCCTGTATTCTTACTTTTCCAGCATATGTTTCTCTTAAAATTCGTCTTGCGCTACATTACTCAGAAAAATACAACAATTTTACTTATAATTCTACTAAAAGTATTTATCTAAGTACAAAATTCGTAACAATACTATATCAGGAGTCGTTGCACCAGCCCACTGATGATGATGGAGCGAAAGATGAAAATTTCTCTTTTCTTTTTCATTTTTGGCTTTGGCATTTTTTGCGCCTTTCATGCAGGTTTGCCAATATGCTTCTCATATTTTTTTTTTTTTTTTTTGCTGTTGGTTTGTTCCAATTTGAATATGAGATGGATTTTAAACTTATTATTAATTTTATTTTGCATTATTGTCGATATTTGTTGTTGCTTTTAGCGAGTAATTAGATTAGTGTATTTTTCATTTATATGTGTGTGTGTGTGCATATATATATCTATGTAATTAATAGGCATTTTTTGTCTAGTATAAAGTAAAATTCACTAATATATGGCTTATCCGTACTTTTTTAACTGAGAAATATTATTCGTATCATATATCGTATTCGTACCATGGCTCAAAAATGATATGCAGTTTTCGTATTCTTCCTGTCTATGTTTTACTGATGGAAAATTGAGGTGTGGGAAAAAAAAAGCGAATTGTTTTTCTAAGGAAGCAATATACCTGTATTTATTCCCATAAGTACTTTAAAAGTAATGTTTTTGTCAATTTGAAATCTTTCTTAGTACACAGCAGTATCTTCCATACGTGAGATTTCTTTAAAAATTAAAGTAATACTGAATCAACGACTGATTACTAGTATTTTAAAAATTGAGCAGAAAATATTAAATGGGATAATTAACTCTACTTTTCTGCATTAAAGTAAATTATTATTGTATTCCTAATTTTCTTACTCTGATGCTCCTTTTTTCCTACTTGAAGACTCTTACTACTTCTCATAGTTATAGACATCATCATTTTCAGTACTGTTTCAGATTAATCAAAATCAAAACCAACCGAAATTCTCATTAGATATTCATATTTTTTTGACATTCTTATCAATTACTTTCAGTGAAATAAATTTCCGTCTTCTTTCCCAACATCTTTTAAAATTTAACTGTTATATTTTACGTTTAGTTTTCAAATTTTGTTTACTTCCAGCCTGAAACCTTTGCGTTTCCATATTTTAAAATTTATTAAATTAAAGATCAAATAATTGCGAGATAAAGTTAAGAATTACAGCCGTATCTATTCGTCGTCTTTGACAGCATGCTTCATGTCACCTTTTAGATATAATGTATTAAGTTTTGAATTTTGCGTTAATAATATTATTTGTGAATAGTATTATTTTTACTCCTAAAATTATCTTACGAAATTAAGAGTGCGAAAAGTTCAGAATTCAAGTTCAGGAGCAAAAAATTCGCACCGGAATGTGGTATTTTTTGCGAGGCTTTAGCAAACAAAGCCTCGCAAACGCTTCCTCTAACTAATCTAACAGTAACTGATTCTGAATTTAAGTTCTCGAGCTAAAATCACAATTCCATTATAGTGTCTTAAAGCAACAGTCAGCGTTGACTTACGAAATTAAATCTGAGTGAAGATGTAATTGATACACATCATAATAATGAAAACACAACAACAGCAGTACAATGAAATCTTACCTGTACCATTTAAAAATTAGAAAGAGTAATATCCCATAAATGAATAAGTTTCTTTGAGGTATTTCCAGGATTTCTAACATCATTGTTTCTCAAAAAGGGGAGAAAGGAATGACTTTACATGTTCGTCGTTGAGAATACAAGTAAATGTTGTCTTGGTTGAGCATGAGTTGTTTACCTTGGGAGCAACGTTTGATTTTTTTTTCGCATGATCATTGTTTTTTAATTCACTGATGTGATATAACTTCCTGTTCGACGCAGTATCATAAACGGGGGTTGAGCAATAATTGCACATGACGTTCTTAAAATGAACATTTTTGAATTTTAACTTTGTATTAATAATTTCTGGTATTTATAATTAATCCGTATAATTTTTTCCTTCTGTTAATACTTTCTACATTTTTTTTCTATATTAATTCATGAATATATTCCTTTAGATGTTGAGCAAAGCGAGTAAGTAGCGTATGATGATAGATAGCTATAACTTCATAGTTTTATTATATTTTTAATCTGTAAATTTACTTTCTCGAAATTACTCAGGTGCCGGTACACTGTTAAAGATTAATAATTAACAGATAAAAGATTAATAATTCATTAAATACGTCACATGTTTGATTTTATTATTTTTGGTTCAGTCTAAAATTCAGTACTTTCAAAATTTGTTATAACAGGAGGAAGATAATTTTTGATGCGAAACTGTAAAAAAGGAATCTGAAATCAAGACCGTAAGCGAAACAGTGATCAGAATGTTCACTAACTAAATTTCTGAACCTGCCCTTAAATACTGCGGATGAAATTTTATCACGGAATAAATTGATTACCTTTTTATTTCAGAGACTGAGACAGATAATGAGTTTAGAAATGCTATTAATAAATCTCTGAATAAATGCTGTTTTTTCACACATTGTTATCCATATCTTGCTGCAAAAGGAATCTGATTTTTTCAGTCGCTTAAGTCCAACTATTTATCAGAAGCAATCACGAGTTGAGGCGCGTTAAGCAAACTATTTTATTCTGAATTAGTATTTTATTCTTCTTACCTTAGCAACTGAATGCATACTTATCAGGGTTAAAAAAAGCAAATCTTAATTGTTAAAAGCCTGTGAAGGAGTACCATTGTCTTGAAACTCAAGAAAAAGAAGCTCTTTTTTTGAAGAAGATAATATAAAATCTTTTACGTTTATAATCATCTAATTGTTTCCAAGTGAAATTATTTAAATCGCAAATACAACTCAAAATGAAGTGGGTGAAGTACAGATGATGACGAAAGACATCAAAATTCGCTAAATAAAATATATAACAATAAAATGTAATGAAAATTTCACGGATAAATTTTAACCAAGAATTTGCATATACTGATTTTCCTAACTGTCACATCAAACATGCAGATAGCATGATCACACACTCTGCACGGAAATCCGAAGGTAAACTTATGGAACTTTTTCTTTCTTTTCTCTCTCTCTCTCTCTTTTTTTTTTTTTTTTTTTTTTTTTTGCTTCGTTGAATTGCAGTGTACATCAGCACTGATAAAACTGCAAATATAAAAGCAAACTGTTGCAGTCTGCAGTCGTTTTACGCTTACTTCTTACCGTTACAGTTACTGTTTAACGGTAAAAAATTTTTTGCATACCTTCAACCTTCAGCATTTATCCATGAATTAAATAACTGTTTCGTTAAACATTTTCACTAATGGTGGGTACTTGCCTATTCAGCACTGACCACACCTAAGTTTAGAAGTGGTGGCCATTTTATTGTGGAGGCACCTAATAGGCGGCCACCGTTGCCCCTATGTAGGGACGAGCAGTTACAACCATGCTTTCTGCAGGCCATTCCGTACCCCATTAGCACCCTCCCCCCTTTACCATCTGGGCGGCGTTTCGTTAAACATTGAATGTTGATCTGGAAAAGCAGATGCAGAGTAAACTCAAAACCATAAGAGTTAGATAAAATAACATTACGATTTTCACAGCATCATCATATCGATTTCATAAGTGTTATATTCAAATGTACCTATTGGCACACCAGTAACCAGTGGCCGAACGGTAAAGTCGTTGAACACTAATAGTTCGGTCGTGGGTTCGAATCCCCAGGGAATGGGCTGGCTGGATAGACGTTTTCGTTGTTTTTCCCATATATAACTTGGATTCCAGCCAGCAAGGAATCTGGTTGAGCAGAATTTGGGCGGTCTTGATGAGACACCCTGAATATTCCTGTTATCGTCGAAATTACGAATCTTAACTAAATTATGTTCAGAGTTGCATTAATAAAGAATGATTCCTGGTTGAGAGAGAAATATTTCAGTGCTTTACTTCCGTTATTGTTAAGGAAAATGAAACAAGAACGTTGAAGGGAATCCTTTTAAACTTCTGCAATGTATTTTAAAAACAATCTACAGAATAAAGTTCCAAATATTGTAAAAGTACTGCGAATTTTTTTCAAAATTGATGTCAGTGTTTCTATTTATGAGAAATTCTTCCTAAATAAAAATTATGTAAGAAGTATTGAGAGCTACAAAAGTTTATTTTGCATTTAAGAAATCTTTCTATATTGTCTACACAAGAACAACTGGAGCAATCAAGTAGACCTTTACAATGCCAAAAACATGCAAAATAATAATAAAATTTTAAAGTGTTTTTAGCTTCAAAAATATACGTAGGTTTTAATTTATTTCCCTAAATGTCATTTTGGCAGTTTTTAACGTAGACTTAACTTTCCTCCATGGTGGTCTCTGGAAAGAAAAAATTACGATGCTTTTTCGGGTTACGGAAACAATTGACACTTCGCAACTACAAAACATAGAGAATTGGTTTGTGTTTCGTTTGATAGGCGATGTGCACTATAAAATGCAAAAAGAATTTTGGAATATGGAATTACTGTTCAGCCACAGCTTAGTGACAAAATTAGCGAAAATCACGGAATTTTGATGACGTCATACGCTGTGTGCATGCAGAGAGAGTGGCCATACATCTCCACTTCCGCTCCTTCTCGTCTGGTGGGCGGCTCCGGCTCAGTTGTGTGTTGGATGCGGTCGTGAATGGTTGTGCTGTTGGTGAATTTTGTTTCACTAAAATTAATAAAATTTTCAAGTTTGCTCATTGATGAAGAGTTCGATACAGATACAAACGTACCGCTTATTATGCAAAATTTTAATGTAGACGCAAAAGAAATGAAAAGGCATTTGATTTCCTAAAACAGTATTTTAATCTGTACATGATACCTTCGAATTATTCAAGTACACTTGGCAACTCTTTTATAAATTATACATTCACACGAAATATCTACACACCTATTGAATTATGTTGGTTATTTCTCATATCATAGTCTTATATTGCGTGAAATAATTACGAATAGAAACTGTATACAGGTATGAATAAATATTATTTACATTTTGTAACAGGAATTTTTGTTCTCGGGGGGGGGAGGGACAATAAGTCTACGCATAAGTACTACGAGTAATACGCAATAAGTACTACGAGTCACGAAAGGAACAATAAGTCTACGCATTACACCGCAGCAACCGTTTGGAATAGAGGGATTTTTGTCAATTTTGTAAAGTTATTGTATATCCAGAAGGGTTGAAAATTCAGTGATCGCCTCAGGCGGTAAACTTAGTATATTTCGGGAAAACTAGCTATGCCACTGAGAGAAGACGTGTGAGATATGAGGAATATAGTTCTACTATACTAAAGCAGGTAATGGTCATTGGAATAGCATAAAATACAAATGCGATTCGTCTTAGAAGCTTTGGTATTCTTAAAGTACTGTTTTTCCAGTTCTCAAATGGCTTGAAAACTCGCTGAAGAAATATCTTGCAGGGAGGTAAAACGCGGCCAACACTAAAACTGTGTCAATTTGAGAAGTATTTGAGGTCTGGTAGACTCAGTTACAGACCTATATGTCAGCTAAGGCGAAAGATCTCACTTAGTCAAGAGATCTATTATGCCCTTCCCATGTCCATTTCTAAAGAAGCTAGATGGTTTTTGTGCACTTTTTTTTTTGGCGCAATATTGCAACCACTAGCAACAATATACTACAATTAGATTTTTCCAGCTGCAATTCTACCTTTTGTAATGATTGCTTAGTCGATTTCAGCTCTGGTTCAAAGTCCCTAACCAACCAGATTTTCGAGCTTGCATTAAATTTTTGTTTCCATGAGGTTGTAGAACTAGAGGAGCCGGTCAAGATGATTCTGGTCAAGATGATACTGGTGACGAGTTTTATCTCTGGACAATGACCTTCAGAAAGTCATCGTAGGAAGGAATTAGCCATCGTGTCCAAATGCAACATGAATGAGCAAATTCGTGATGATGCTAAGAAGGCTTTGGGTGATATTAAAAGTTTGATTACAAGATATTTGAGCATGTTAAGTCTATAAGTTTTCGTGGAGCTTGCAAAGAAATCTGATCGAATTCCGTCATGCATACCAAATCTTATGTTAATGCTGTGGCGCCATCTGTTGTGCCAGATCAGACTGATTCAGACTGCTGTGTTACTATGAGTGCAGAAAACTGCACATCTGATGATGTTAAAAGCCTTCTTAAAGCTGAAATCGATCCTTAGAAACATAAAATTGGAATTAGCAGTATTATAACAATTAATCACAAAAAAGTATTGGAGAAAGCGTTTCGGTATATAATAAAGAAAAACTGTTTTCTGCTTTGCAGGAAGACTCAACTATTTAGGATACTTACGTATTATCGCAACCACCTTAGTAAAGATCACCAAATTCTGGCAACCATGCGCATAACAGTTCTTTAGGTAAGCGTATCATAAGGTACAATCCGAAAATTTGTCGAATCACGATTTTCTTCATTAAAAAATCGCCAGTCTATGCCAAGGTGATTGCTCTATTACGTCAGTACCGTATTTTGAATCCCTCTACTTCAAGGCGAAAATATCCTGCACTGTTACTTAAAAATATGCCAAATAGCATTAGTGGTGAGGAACTCTTAAAAATTATTGGAGAACAGAATCCTGAAATCAACTTGTCTGAAGAATATTGAAAGACGTTAAAGTTCGATTTACTTTGAAAGAGTTTCATCATGACAGAAGTATAGTTATTCAGGTGCACCCTGCTGTGTATAAGTGCATATTAAAGTTTTGGGGTGTTAAAGTGATGTGGAATATGTGTAAAGCTTAAGATTTTATTG